ATGTGATTTCTAAACTTTGTAAAAGTTTAAAATGAAAGGAATTTTTAGAGCTCAATCTGAAAAAAATGTAATAAATAAAAAAATCTGTACATTTAATAAAATAAAAAAAGTTAAATGAAAATCATTTAAAAATTTCGAAATTAGAAAAATAAATGAAGACGTTTTTTAAAATTTCCTTCCTGGATTGCATTTTTTTTCTAATTTCCAATAAATGAAAAATAATGGAAAAAATGTCACTCCATATAAGACGTAATAGAACAAATAAAAGAAAAATCAGCTAAGGTTTATTTACAGTATCTTTTCACGAAGAGGAAAAAGTTATCACCATTTCAGGAAGTTGAATCAAAATCTAAATAAACGGTCATTTGCTCTTTCATAGAAAGTTTCATTGAAAGTTAAAATGAGATGCAGCCGTACTTCACCCATTTGAAAGATGCCAGTCCTCCTCTGTGCAATAACAATACACCTGTTTTCAGGCTCTGCAATGCTTGAGGCTCCTGCTGTGATTCTGAACTCTCATCTTCAGAGCCGCTGTATATGTTTCCATGAATGATCTGATTCACAAGCTGCATCATCTGCACCGGAAAAAGACACCTTTAGGATACAAACTCTTAATGCACTGACTTCTAATCAGCTCTAATTAAAAGTGTCGGATTAAATTAAGAGTTTACCTTATGTTTGTCCTCCAGTGATGTAGCCTCCAGCTCATAGTCATGGTGTTCTTTAAAAGAAATGGAGAACCTAGAACCAACTCCATCATCACAGCTCTTGACAATCATGAAAGGCAGCTGGCGTTTGATGATGCCTTTCTCTATACTGCACAACATCTTTGTCTTGAAATCAATCTAGATGAACAGAAGTTTGAATAACAAAACAAGTAAGACATAATCCTTATAAGCATACCATACATACATTGTTCCTACATACTGTGGGAACCAGTAGGAGAAAAAAGAAAACATCCTAATATTTCAAGCCGTTCTGCCATTTTAGATCAGATGACACCAAAATGTTTTATTTTGTTTTTATTAATTTATCAGATGGTTTATTCCTGTTAAAAGGGAGATTTTCCTCTCCACTGTCGCTACGAGCATGCTTAGTGTGAGGGATTGCCTTCAAGTCAATAAGAAAATGCAATCAACTGGTTTTGCTTAGATAGAAAACTTTTAATCAACTTGACTGGATGTTCTGGTGAACTGTAAAGTTCCTTGAGATGACGTGTTGTGAACTGGCCCTATAGAAATAAACTGAATTGAAATTGTGCTTTTCTATATTGTGCTGTTTATGGTTGTAAAATGACAATATGTGAAAAGGTTTAAGAGGCAAGGCTACTTTTGCAAAGTGCGTCAGCTTAAACTTGGAAAGCCTCTGTGGTTTTCAAACTCACCTGTAGAACCCGCTTCTGCCACCTGTAGCGGCCATGTTTATGAACACTGAAGTTGTATTGCTGGTTTGTATTGTTCTGAGGCTGTTCCTGAAACAGAAATGATAGAGAATAGAGGAAGTCACCATAACAGCTATGATCAACATAGACTCTTCATTGTTCACCGCAACAGCAGATCTGGCTAAAGGAGAAACGATCCAAACCAAAAGTTTCAAACTGATCCAGCAGGATGAGCTGCATACTTGAGAAGACAATGTTAAAAACAAAAGTTAAGCAGGAGGTTATAATGAACAAAAACAGGTTCTCTTCAGCTTGGAATTTTCAGAAAGTAACTTCTGATGCTTTTTTCTGCTGAAATGCTGTAGCCAGAACTTTGTTTGCATACATCAAACTAATGTAAGTTTGATGTAGGCTTATATATTAATATTGCAGACACTATAACAGGTGCTTTTCAAAGGCAAGCCTTACTAGAATTCATATTATCTCATCTTTAATAAATGCTTCAAATATTTTATATGTATTATATCCCTTTTGTTGTTGTTAGAACTCCATTTTAATCTGATCAGTCTCAGTACAATGCTGCCTGCAAATTAACCCATAAGACAAGTTAAACCATCCAATCCCTTTTAACCACAGTTACAAAGACCTGTGTAATCATCAACATAACTTTGTTAAACTGCCTTCCTGTTTTAGATGTTCTCTGTGAATATAAACTGGAACTGTATGGAGTGAATTTTGTTCCATTATTTTTTTGCAAGCAAGATCATCTTTTGTAAATGGACATTTGAAAAAACATATTTTGTATATTAAAATGAAGAAAAAAAAGTTATGCAATCAGAAAATGAAACTTTGAAAAATGTTTTCCTTTAAAAAATAAGGTTTTAAGAATAACTTTGCTGTTATCCCCGATTTAGTTTTTTTGGAAGCATTTTTTCAGAATTTATGTTTTGTTTTTTTGTTTTTCAAATAATATGTATATTTTTTTATTTAATTTAAATAAAAAAGACTTCTCTGTCTTATTTAAATAAATAAGATTAAATAAGATTGAATTTGCATTTGCATTCCATTTTATAGTCATCTGGTGCATTACTTGAGCATTTCAAGCAGATAAAAGTGTTCAAAACCCATCTTAAACATAGTTGGCCTGTATAGTGTACTCTATGAAGGATTTTGTATCGAAGTTCTTATAAATTAAGATTTCTAGTCATATTAAAGGTTCTCTGACAAATTATAAGCCATTCATTTTGATCAAGCCTTACAGATCAATCACTTTTTCATTTTCCAATAGACTCATCTATTTTGGATAAACTATATATTTCGGGCAGTAATTTTGGTGCCATTTTTAGACCTACTTAATAATCATAAATCTGTCTTTTATCACGGACCTAATCTGTTACATTTGTTTTGTTTTTTAATCCCATACTGTGAAATTAAGCTACAGAATGGGATAAAACTATTTTCCTCAAATATATGTTCCAAGAGTTTAATTTCTTTCCTGATCCATTCAGGAAATCCATAAATTTTTTGCATGATATCAAGCTTTTTAAAGATGGGCGTACAGTTGCATGGTATTGGTGCGTCTGGAAGCAAAAACCTACTTTTTTTTCCTCTTTGTTTACTTCCCCTGGCTTTAATACTCAGAAAACATGGCATCTTCTTTTTTTTTTTTTATGTCGATGATGCTCAGATATACATGCTACTAAAGACATTAAAGTGTAGACATCTCTAAACCTTTTAACTTTAAATGAAATGAAAACAGATGTGATGATATTTTGTCCCAACAGTTCCTGACATGTCATTAGGTTTTCAAACAGAGGAGCAATGGTCAAGTCCCATTTTTATCAGTTTACCAGAGTTTTTCTCAGTTTTTACCTTAGACAGCTGGCCAAGATAAACCAGAGTCATTTAAATAACATTTCACAACAGTAATTCATGCTTTCATTACAACTGTGATTGATTACTGCATGTAAAGCTCTCTGTATCGGACTCAGTCAGTCCTCCCTAACATGTGGGTATCGGTGAAGGAGCCGAAGCTCTTTAAATCTCCATATGTTATAGTCTTTTCCCTTCTCATATTTTTTTATCGTAATCTTTTGTTCTTCCAAATTTTGCATGTTTGTTTATTGTTATTTATACTGCACTCCTCCACAGCCAGTGATGAGAGTAACAGCTTTGAAAGTAACGGCGTTACTAACGCCGCTAGCTTTTTTTAGTAACGAGTAATCAAAATTATTACTCTTACTGTAAATATA